CATGATGAGACATCATGATGGCTTTGATATTGCGCTTTCCTTGAAATATTTTGTTCTCATTTTCACCGGATCGGACGGCTCAGCATCGCATGTGAATCCAGGCGTCCCTTTGCACGTGCATCTCGCACGCATATAGCACTAGACTGAAGCCTGCAAGTTTTGGCAGTCATATAACCAAGATTGACACGTTTTGATGATGTAAGATTTCTCTGAAACAACCACGGAGAAACAATTAAGACGACCAGTTTTTGTCACGACCGTCAAAACATTCCCATGTGTAAAACATTGTTTGAACTTTCAGCGAAGACACTTTACACACAAAGAAAACCGCAAACACGGCGGCGTTAGCAGAACTACAAAGGCCTTTGTGGTATTGCAGCTGCCGAAGTATCAGGTTTTCTAGTCGAGCTTGACAATTGTGTTCAATCTGTCAACGGTAATTGACAATGCAGACATGAAACTGGATGCCTGAAACCACAAAGAATAGAATCAAACATGTCAAAGAGGTTGCTTGTCTTTCTGTTTGAAAGACTTTTGCGAAGATTCTGAACACTAAGGAAGAATACCGCGGTATTGAAATTCCATACCGAGTTCACCGGTGTTTCGGTATTCATGAATCATTAGTCGGTGTTAGTCGGTTATTAAAAAAATAACCGTGAATATCCGGTAAAACCAAAATACCGTCCAAGCCTAATTAGGCTTGGGACGGTATTGCATTATACCGCGGTATCCAGTGAAAAAAACCGTGGTATTCACTAAATCGCAGTATTATGTTAAATGGGGTATTACGTCATTATCAGGGGAAAAAATAAGCACCACGTGCCGAGTTAATAAGCCGCTGGCGCAGCAATCTCCTAGATACACTAAAAGTGTCCTGGTTTAATTATCAGTCCATTTGTTTGTAAAAACAAGATATCATTGTAACAGATTATTAAACATGTAAAGCTTACTTTTTGTGGTATTGTATTGTCATGTCAATGACTTACAAATTCGAACAATACAATAGTGGACCGTCCATTAAAAACAAATAATGCAGATCGTCGACCAATGCCCGAGACCGTCCACGCGATGTTCCCCATATCCTAGCAAACGTAAGCTTTTCAGCTGTTATCCATTGTGAGTGATTCAATAGGCTCATGTAATTTATGTCGGCCACCTGCGATTCCTAACGTGCTTCGCCTGTGTAATGTAAATATCGGACTCCTATAAAAAATAATTGACTCCTTCTCACATGATCAGTCCGTGATTTATTCTGGTAATCATCACAATGTTAGGCACGTGCAATTGTGGATGCTGTAATATGAAGTTGTCCATGCCACGACCTTCATAACGAACGGACCAATTGTACCAAAACATGAATGGAAAATGTTTCGAGTGTCGTTAGACAGCCAATCAGCTTGATCTACGCAGTGCGTGTGAAAAAGCATGTGTCATTGTGCTTGTGGACCCAGCATGATGGGCGTAGGTTTATTTGGGTAGATCATACGGGTTTTTTTCCCACGATGAGAAATCATGGCTTTTATATTACGCTTTCTTTTGGAGTATTTTCTTTTCTCAATTTGTATCTGGACGACTCAGCGTCATACATGTATGATTCAGGCGAGTCCCTTCCCTTTGAACGTCCGTACCGATGAATAACTAACGGACCAATCGTACCAAAACATGAATGAAGAAAAAATGTTCCGAGCGTAGATTTAGATGGCCAATCAGATTCTTTTACACTGAGGGTGTTTTAGATCGATGAATGCAGTGAGTGGGGAAAAGCACGTGTTTCGACTCACTGTGCGGATTGCAGAGTGTGGAACCGCGTGTATGCGTATCATGCACTGACATGTATATGGCCACGCACATGACGCAGGTGTATTCGGGGACTTTTGTAAACACTACGCTTTACAGATTGTACAAGAGTTTTTACCCACGTTGAGAAATCCTGGCTTTTTACATGTATATTGCTCTTTAGGGGCCATTCAGAATTTTTAATGTTTTAAAATTTCGACTTTTTCCAAATTGTGGGTGGGTGGGTCAAGCTAAATAATTGAAAATCGAAATTCACTTTTAATGGAAAAAAAAGAGCCAAAAAAACCCCCAAATATATCTTTTGACTTGCCTGAACTACGCGCAAGCGTTCCGATATTGTGATGCATGTTTCCTTTCCAACTTTGTCCCCTGTATGTACTGTACATGTACATAGACCCACTGTGCCCAGGTGGTTTTCAGTAGACTTGGACGCCGGGCGTTTGTAACTCTACGGGCGTGCAGAGGCAGCAGGGTACCAGGTGTATTTAGACCGGGAGCCAGGGGGGGGTCAGCCTAGCTGGAAAGTTAACCAATTTTCATGTATGCAGCAATGTTCCACATACATACCAATGTAAGGAAATGGACGTCTGCCGGGCACACTGTGGTGGGTGTGGTCAGGAGGGCCATGAGAAAGGGGCCCAAAAATTGAGCTAGATCAGCTCGTGAGTTAACCTGATAAAACCAATTAGAAAATGTTCGGCATAGTCCCAGGTATCATGAATGGCCATCGCCAGACATTTTCAGTGGTGGGGTGTGCCCGCCAGACTTATATAACCGATACCCAAAAATTGAGCTAGATCAGCTCGTGAGTTAACCTGATGAAACCTACTGGAAAATGTTCAGCATAGCCCCAGGTATCATGAATGGCCACTGCCAGACATTTTTTGTGGTGGGGTATGCCCGCCAGACGCCCCCGAATGACCCCACCCCTAAAATTGAGCTAGATCAGCTCGTGAGTTAACCTGATGAAACTTACTGGAAAATGTTCAGCATAGCCCCAGGTATCATGAATGGCCACTGCCAGACTTTTTCTGTGGTGGGGTGTGCCCGCCAGACGCCCCCGAATGACCCCACCCCAAAATTGAGCTAGATCAGCTCGTGAGTTAACCTGATGAAACTTACTGGAAAATGTTCAGCATAGTCCCAGGTATCATGAATGGCCACTGCCAGACTTTTTCTGTGGTGGGGTGTGCCCGCCAGACGCCCCCGAATGACCCCACCCCCAAAATTGAGCTAGATCAGCTCGTGAGTTAACCTGATGAAACTTACTGGAAAATGTTCAGCATTGTCCCAGGTATCATGAATGGCCACTGCCAGACATTTTCTGAGGTGGGGTATGCCCGCCAGACGCCCCCGAATGACCCCACCCCCAAAATTGAGCTAGATCAGCTCGTGAGTTAACCTGATGAAACTTACTGGAAAATGTTCAGCATTGTCTCAGGTATCATGAATGGCCACTGCCAGACATTTTCTGAGGTGGGGTATGCCCGCCAGACACCCAGAATCACCCCCATGCCAAGTTTAGAACTTGATCTGAAAACAGGGGTAATATCTGCATGATCCCCTCAAAAACTTGTCAATCTTTCTGAATTATTCTGGATAGATTAAAAACAAGGAAAAATGGAGCAAGGGAATGGGGGAGTGTATGCTGTTCATTGGTTGTGAGAACACAGCCCCGCTGCAGCTAGAAATGAGCCAAGCAACATTAAGCAAAACAAACCCTCTCATTGGCTAAAAGTTGTTCTTTTCATTTGCATATGCAAATCTCTCACTGGCATACTTAAGGATTACCTAATATGGTATTGAAGTCCAGCTTTGCAAGATTAGGCTGGGGGACTGAGTGGAGGATCCAGGTAATTAGGTCAGAGAACTTGGCAAAATAAATACATAATTTACTTGCTGCGTTTAAGTAAGTTTTTCATACACTGGTGATGCAAATGAATTGTACGTCAGTATCATCAAGTCTGTCCAGATGATGTCCGTTCACTGGCCGGTAAATACGGATAATTACGAGTAGGTAAGTGAAATTGTTGTGAGTCAGATCCATGCTGACATATATTATTTTCTGTGCAAATTGTAGGCTATATTCTAGGTAAAGTAGACAAGATTTATTTTGATAACTACTTCTGTCAAATCGATACGCAAAAAATCAGTGCAGTTGAGAACCGGGGTTGGATGGGAATGGCAAAATGGCAATTCTGTGGAACACATGATATTTTCTTAAGCTGCGTTTTGTAGTTACATGTATTTAAACATATTTAGACGGACCCTTTTTTAGGGACATACCGGTACTGTACTGCTTGGTACATACTCTAGCCTATAGCCTTAGGCCTATGACTATTCACTTTTAGGGGGAAAAAAAAATCAGTTTTGTTTTACTTAACTATACAGGAGACATAACATGTATAAGATTATAGCAAAACACTGACCACAATCATGGTCAGTGTTTGTTAATGGCCCCCTTATGGGAGGTCCCCCTCATCATGTTTCTGACTACTCTCCCTTATGAGTCATGGAAACAGATGGACAATTCATTGGGGCTAATTCTATGAAATAAGTGTGTATTGTTTTTAGTGTGCCATGAAAATGGGTTTATAGTGGTCAGGCAAGTGAGCTCAGTTTAATTCTGAATCAAGACTTCAACAAGTCTTCAACTTCAGCAGCACCGACTTCAACAATTTCTTCTATATTTCCTACCTCCATTTGTTTTATTCGACATATCTGGTAATAGTTTTTGCTCTTTTGTTTTACTTGCAATCTTTGTATTCAATGTTTATAAGGATTTGTTTTTTCTTTCTTAGGTACCGGTAGAATATACTGTAGTGTATTGTGGTTTAGCCTTGTTGAATTTCTTAATTCAATTTGGTCCGGCCTAGTAGCCTTAGATTAAATGGTTCTCCATTAATGTACCCAAAGCAGCTTGACTATTTGTAATTGTCTCCTTATTTCATGTGGTACTCTTTTTTTATTTCAGGGAAATGAAAGCAGAGATTTTTCGCTCTTGACAGGGCTGATCATCTGCCAACGTGTGACTGAATCGTTTCTCTGAAGGTGAGCTGATGCCCATACTGTCATTTTTTATTCCTCACAATTAATATTTAATGTTACTTTGTAGTAATTTTTTAAGATGAATGTTTAGCAAAAGTGTGACTCTGGGGATATTTTTAATAGTACAGTGCATTGTCCTATTCTGTCAGGTTTGGATTTTCGACATTTGGAGGATGGATACAGAAGAAACAGGTACGACTTCAGAAGAAGAAGGTTTGGAAGAATCAACCCAGAAGATGGATCCAAAAGAAGCACGTACGACTTCAGAAGAGCAATGTTTGGAAGAAACAACCAGGAAGATGAATGCAGAAGAAACACGTGCGACTTCAGAAGAGGAAAGTTTGGGGGAATCAACCCGGAAGATGGATGCAGAAAAAACACGTATGACTTCAGAAGAGCAAGCTTTGGAAGAATCAACCAGGAAGATGGATACAGAAGAAACACGTATGATCTCAGAAGAGCAAGGTTTGGAAGAATCAACCAGGAAGATGGATACAGAAGAAACACGTATGACTTCAGAAGAGGAAGGTTTGGAAGAATCAACGAGGAAGATGGATGCAGAAGAAACACGTATGACTTCAGAAGAGGAAGGTTTGGAAGAATCAACCAGGAAGATGGATACAGAAGAAACACGTATGACTTCAGAAGAGCAAGCTTTGGAAGAATCAACCAGGAAGATGGATACAGAAGAAACACGTATGATCTCAGAAGAGAAAGGTTTGGAAGAATCAACCAGGAAGATGGATACAGAAGAAACACGTATGACTTCAGAAGAGCAAGGTTTGGAAGAATCAACCAGGAAGATGGATGCAGAAGAAACACGTATGACTTCAGAAGAGGAAGGTTTGGAAGAATCAACGAGGAAGATGGATACAGAAGAAACACGTATGACTTCAGAAGAGCAAGGTTTGGAAGAATCAACCAGGAAGATGGATACAGAAGAAACACGTATGACTTCAGAAGAGGAAGGTTTGGAAGAATCAACCAGGAAGATGGATGCAGAAGAAACACGTATGACTTCAGAAGAGGAAGGTTTGGAAGAATCAACGAGGAAGATGGATACAGAAGAAACACGTATGACTTCAGAAGAAGGTTTGGAAAAATCAACCCGGAAGATGGATTCAGAAGAAACACGTATGACTTCAGAAGAGGAAGGTTTGGAAGAATCAACGAGGAAGATGGATACAGAAGAAACACGTATGACTTCAGAAGAAGGTTTGGAAGAATCAACCAGGAAGATGGATGCAGAAGAAACACGTGTGACTTCAGAAGAGGAAGGTTTGGAAGAATCAACCTGGATGATGGATGCAGAAGAAACACCTACGACTTCAAAAAAGCAAGATCGTTCATCCACTATTGTCAATCAAGAGGTACGTGTAATAAAACTTATTTCTAAAGTACAGCACTTCTAAAGTGCTTAGATGTTACCATTCACCAATCCACCTTTGAGTCCAGAGAAGTCTCCTCTCAAAATTCCCATAACCAATTGTAAAATGTCATTATGCCTCTGCCACAAAGTGGCCGAAACATTATGTTTTCGGTTTGTCCGTTCGTCTGTCCTCCATCTAAGTAATAGGAATACAATTTTATGTATATGAACTATGAGGTCAAATGCCAAATGTTGTAATTATATTAATTTGAACAGTTGTGGTTGCTTATTTGTAGGCAGAGGCATATTTATCAACTGCGCGCCGTCAAATTTCTCTAGTTGACAGTTAAATCAACATGAGATCACATGGTCCCTGGACCATTAGATTTTTAATCCATTACAACGGACCCTATTTTTGTTTTATTCCAGAACAATGACACCGAGTATGTTTCAAGCTGCTACATCTGTCAAAAGTCCACAGAAGAAGACGGCAAGCTCAAAAAGCTTAATGACAGGACATGGACAACAGTAAAAAATGCTGCTGCCTTGCGTCAAAATTTGAACTCCGACAAATACTTTGAAGTCACACAAAAGATTTTGTATAGCGGTGACCACGAGTCTAATGTCAGCTATCACCCTTCTTGTCATAAGCATTACACAGCAGTGAAGCGTGCAAAACAACCCCTGCCACCTGATGATGAACCCATCACCAAAAAGGCTTGTATCGAGACAAGACGCTGCAGTGTCCTTCCCAAGTCAGATCAGCAGGGCATGTTAAAAGGGACTTGTATGTTCTGTGGAAAAAGCCGTAAGAGAAGGAATGGAAAAGAGGAGCCCAGACTGAAGGTAGCGACACTTTCTGGTTGTGAGTCACTTCGCCAGCGGGCAGAGTCTACGAAAAACGAGCGTATCAAGAGTCTCATTCGGAGTGGCGTGGACCTGATCGCAAAGGAAGCAGAATACCACAAATCTTGCCTTGTCCAGTTCCTGAGGGAGACTGATGATCAAGATAGACCTACTGACATGACTGAAGGGAGCTCATCTCAGTCCTACCACAAGAGGGCATTTGCATCTCTGCTTTCCTATATCAAGAATGAGGTGGTAGGAAAGCAACAATCTGTGTTAGTCAATGATTTACTTGGCATGTACAAAGGCGAGTACACCACTTTCGGAGGAAATGTGGCAGACGTCCAGGCCTACACAGCTCAAAATCTTCTCAGGAAGGTAAAAGACCATTTGAAAGATGATGTCACAATCAAATTAATGGACCATCGTAGAGGCAACTTCATATACAGTTCTGCTCTTATAGAAGAGGATGCAAGGGCTCGCCTTCATGAGGATGCTAAACTCTATGAAGAGGATAACAAGTTAAGATGGGCTGCTCTCCATCTCAGATCCCAAATTATGCAGCTCCCGAAGACCAAGACGCCAAATCCTGCAACAGTCCAAATTTGAAGGAATGCGCCCCAGAGATACCACCACAGCTTGACCTGTTCTTCAGAAGTCTCCTTGGTGGAATCACACCAACTTTTAGTGATGCACAGAAAGATACAGTTGACCGAAAGATAACTGCGATGGCATCGGATGTCATTTATAACGTCACTCATGGTACAGTAAAACCATGGAAGCACACAGCCATGGGTCTCGGGTTTGCATCCCTCACAGGATCAAAACTGGCACTGCAGATTCTGAACAGAGCAGGCCACAGTGTAAGCTACAGTGAGACCAAAGGTCTCCTCGAGACTGAATTCGCCTATTCAGTTCAGCAT